AGGACGGGGCTGTCTGTGTGTCCTGGGGGTGACGGGCAGGACGGGGCTGTCTGTGTCTGTGTGTCCTGGGGGTGACGGGCAGGACGGGGCTGTCTGTGTGTCCTGGGGGTGACGGGCAGGACAGGGCTGTCTGTGTAGCGCGCCTGGCAGTGAGGAAAGCTGAGTGGGGAGGAAAATCTCACAATCGCTGGTCAAGCCTGCCGGTTTCCGCAGCTGAGCTGAGCCTGTTCAGAGTGAGATGTCATCCTGTGCTCCTGCTGCCTAAGGACGTGCTGCACTTACTTCCCTGCGGGGAGACCACGCCCGTCTAGCTCTCGGGGCGCGTGTCCCGGTTACCTAGGTCCTTCATCAGAATGCCCTTGTAGTATTTCTTCTGCAGCGCGGACAGGCCGTGGTACAGCACGACCTCTGTCTTCCTGGGGAGCTCTGCGGCCACCTCGGCCTTCACGCGCCGCAGCAGGTAGGGCTGCAGGAGCCGGTGCAGTTCCCCTGCTGTGTAAGAGCAGAGACAGGCGGTGTGGGACGAGGCGAGGCCACGGCACCCACATATGGGAAAACTACAGGGCTCCCCCGCCCACTTTCAGGACGGTTCTGCAGCGATTTTCTCTGACTGGTTCTCCCCAGCTGGCTCGTAAAACTGGGAACGCACGTCGCGGCCATCCTGTGTTTCTCAGATACTTTTGCATTTAAATCTCAGCGACCAGCCCACAGCTCAGCAGCCAGGGCGAGTGGCACTGCGCCCACTTTCGCAGTTCTGAGCTCAGAGCAGGCGGCGCCCGAAGCCACAGCGGGCGAAGGCAGCCGGCACGCAAGCCTGACGCCAGCTCTTCAAGCTCGGCTTCTTCCTGGTTCCTTCCTCATGTCTTAAACTTAAATATCTGCCTAGTTGGCGGTCCTGGCCGGCAGCACTGCCAGACAGCAGACAAGCGTGCTCAGCTCGGTGTGGCCTTCACGTCAACAGAATCAAATGTGAAGACACGTCGGTCCCGGCCACGTCTGACTGGGCGTGGAGCCCCGGGCCGGCCCTCGGCCCTGGCGTGGGGGCCCCAACTCATGCTCAGCTGGTGCAGTCCACAGCTGGCAGGCCTGCCGGTGGCTTGGGTAACCGTCCAGGAAACATTTTGGGGGTGTCCACCACGCAGAGGGGCAAAGGAAAGGCGACTGGCGGCAGACGGGGGGGGGGGGGGGGTGCCCTCCGTCTCCGGCACACAGCCGGCCCCGGCGTCTGGCTCTGGTGTGGTGTGGCAGGAACGAGCGTGGGGGCTGCTCAGTGGCTGGGGGCTGCGGCACCCCACTGCCTCAGGACGCCGCAGGAGGGGGTGACTGGGTCTTCGCAGAAATTACACTTGGGAGGAGAAAAGTCAGAACCAACAGAGGCTTTCTGCTGCCTCCGAAAGCCCAAGGGGTCCCGCCGCAGGCCCTGGACAAGCCCCGAGAGCAGCCCTCAGGCACTGGGGCGCCCGCCACCTGGCTCTGTGCTCCCCGGCTCCCCGCTCGCCTTCCCCGGGCAACGACTGCGCCCCAGGACGGCCTCTGGCCGCCTTGGCAGGACTCGCAGGTAGGACTTGCCTGACTCGGGCTCTTTCTCAATGGCCTGGTACCGCTGGACGAAATCTTCCACCTGCTCCTGGGCGAAGACGTTGGGCTCCACGAAGCTGAGCAGGGAGTAGAGCTCCTGCAGGCTGTTCTGGACGGGGGTTCCGGTCAGCAGCAGGTTGAAGACCACTGAGAACTGAGTCACAGTACAGTCAGTGGAGCCCCGGGGCTGCACACAAGCTGAGCCCCTCCGCTCGCTGCCCCCCGCCCCGTGAGATGGAGCGGCGGGGGCTCGGGTCACGCTGAACACCGGCGGCTAGGGAAGGAACTCTCTTCCTTCGGGCTGGGACGGGCCTGCGGGCAGCGCCAGTGGGCTGCCCCGCGGGTCCACCCTGGTGGCCGATGTGGATGCGCGAGGCCAAGCCGTGAGCGGTCCCGGAGTCGGGGCCGCCAGACACACCAGCACACACTCGGGGGCCGGAGGCCCGGGCGCCCCGGACCTCCCTGGGCGAGCGAGAAGCCCAGAGCAGGGACGCTGCTCGTGCACCCGACAGCACAGCTGGCCGGCGGTCAGGGCCCAGGCGCCGCCGCTTCGGCCCCGCCCCTCGGGGGGGCGCTCTGGGCGGGGGACAGACACCAGAGGCACACGAAGCGAAGGCCAAGAAATCAGCAATAGCAGGCACATGCTGCCGGGGTGAGGGGACCCCTCAGGGCGCAGCGCCCGAGGGGGTGACTCGGCAGACACAGGCGCCACCTGCGACGCTCACAGCGCGTTTTACTGTCTTCTGTGACACACAGGCACCGTCAGGCGTCCGGGAGGGTGGGGGTGTGGGGGGGGTGCCGCACCCCACTGGCTATTTTTACTCTTGAGCGTGTGTCTGTTTTCGATTGGGGGCCCGTGTGAAGACACGGCTCTTTATAAGAAAAGAGGACTAACAAAGCAATCAGTTACAACTCAACTGACAAAAACGTTTTCTTTTGAGCTCCCTCCCTTTCCGTATGTGTCTTCGAGAAATGTCTGCTCTGCTGCGAGGGCAGGTGCTGCCAGCGGGCAGCTCGTTTTCACACTGTGTGCTCCCCGAGCAGAGCTGGTGGCCACAGAAAGCCACGGAGGCCAGACACCCAAGCTGGCCGCCCCCAACGGCTGAACCCAGCGCCGGCCGCTCCCTTCTCTAGCACACTCAGAGCGCCGGGTGGGAGGCCGAAACCACGCACACTTTGTAGGCGCTCTTCACTGTGCTAACCGGTCTCCTCCGTCTCTCACAGCTTACTTGTAACCGCCCTGTAAGGATGGCGCGCAGCAACCCCCTGGGTCACGCGGAGGCTGTTTCCAACGGGGGAAACCACAGCAGCACCAGGAGGCCGGAGGCCGGCAGCCCCGTCCCCCGAGCCTCGCCAGGCGAGTGGTTGCTTCCCAGGCGGCCAGCTGTCTCCGTCCAACCCTCACCCGAGGATGCCGCCATGCCGCCACGACAGCCCCATCCAGCCCTCTGGCCCTCTGCTTCCTTAGGCCTAACGGAAACGGCTGTGGGACCAGCATCGGGACGTGGTCTCCCCACTGCCCACCCAGGACCCCTCGCTGCACCCGCCTCTCCCCGCACCGGAAGGCAGAGGACTGGCCTGGGAGCTTACAGAGGGCACTGACCAGCTAGACGACAGGCTGGGCCGCCTCTCGGGAAAGGGAGCGCGCAGAAGTCGCTACAGCGCAGGCAAAGGACCCCACGAGCAGAGGCCCCGGGGAGCCCAGGGCTGTGGGCTGGGCCTGCGCCAGCACCCGCACTGGCAAGGGCCGTGGCTACTGCCAGTACGTGGAGCTCGCAGCCGTGACCGTCCTCCGGTGGCGCCGCGTTATCGCGCGACTCGGTCAGGGACAGAGGCAACGACCCGCCCGTGTGGGCCAGCAGAGAACGGCCCCCGTCTGCACCGCCAGGGACGGGGGTGAGGCCAAGAGCCAGGGCGGGGCAGAGGCGACGCACCAGCCCCTCGGTGCCAGGGCCAGCGCCTGCGCCGCCCCAGGGAGCCGCCTTCCTCAGGAGACGAGGGCACAGGGGCGCACCCTCCCGGGGACACCCTCTGCCTTCGTAGCCGGGTGTCAGCACAGGTCCCCTCCTGTGCGGCGCCGGGTCGGGCCACACGGGGTCCTGAGGTCGCCCGCGAGACGCTCACTCGGCTGCAGGATCCTGACTGAGCTGACCACACAAACGTGTTTTTGAAAGGGAGTCAGCTAAAAACAGACCGCTCTGTGAGTTTACCTCGGAAAGGGTCTTATGCAGCAAGGAGCTTTGGTTTTTCAGCCGGTGCGCTTCATCCACAACGAGAACACTCCAGGGGAAGCTGTGAGAGAGAAACCCCAGCCCTCAGCGGCGGGCCGCTCGGGCAGCTCCGACCCAGTCTCGCCGCGGCCTGTGCCGCTGCCGGAAGGCCGTTAAGCCGTCCAGGAGACACACGCCGCAGCCCTCTCCCGACCGAGCCCGGCTCGTGCGCAGGGCGCTCTGGAGGGGCTGGCGGGGGCCGCTCCGCGGGGCGGGAAGCCCTGCGCCCCGACGCCGAGGGGAGGAAGCCAGGGCGATGGCCACGGGGCAGCGCCGGCCCCCGAGGACGCGCAGTGCGGGCCGCGGCTCTCAGTTTAGCCAAGAGGAGACGCTGCGTGCTCCCTCGGCCAAAGAGGACCTGGAGCTCAGAAAGCTTCGGGGACTGGATCGAGGTCACGAGGCGTGGCGGGGGAGGTGGGGCCGTCTAGACGCAGGAAAAGCCAACAGGCGGTGGTGCTGCGGTAGCGGGGAAGGGTGGCGTGAGCACGGGGGTGAGCAGGATCACAGGTGCCGGGAGACGCGTCCTCTGGGTGTGCCGACCTGGAAGTCGCGCGAGCTGCCGCCAGAGCGCAGCAGGGCGGGGCCCTGGTTCCCGAGAGATGGCGGTCATGCAAGCATATCTTTGAGATGTACCCCACCAAAAACATTTACAATGTGCAAAAACATATATATGGACAGCAGTTCCAAGCTGTGTTATTTAAAGTCGACTGCTGTTTTCTGAACAGCAACAGATCCAATGATAGTGAAATATCAAAGCGCCATCAAGGTAAATGCTACCATAAAGGGCCTGTCGGACACACTCCAGGTATCAGATAACCTGCTCACCAGTGTGGAAACCATCAGAGAGAACAAAGTAGCAGCTACAAGATGGTTAACTTTTTGTTTGTGAACATTCTATAATCCCATCGCATTATTTTTATTTGTAAACAAAACAGCATAGGAGTAAAATAGTGGAAAGATGGTGGGCAGGGACAGAAAAATCTCTCAAAGACCAGAGAGCTGTCGAGCACAAGTCGGTCCTGAGAGGAGGGCGCCCCACCTCCCAGCGGGACCCTCCACCGGCGAGAGCCTGGGGTGGCGTGGAGCTGGAGGCGGGCGAGGACCACAGGCCAGGCCGGCGAGCTCGGCGCTGGCCACGAGCCCACAGGCCAGG